AAGAATTTTTTCTGCTCATCACCTCCCGTAAAGACGCCATGCTGCCTACAAACTTTTTCAACCTTGTCTGAAAGGATCTCTTAGCTTATAAACAACCCCTGGAACGAGCACATTGCAGGCAATTCCTTTCTTTCTAGTCGTTCTGTGCTACTTCACCTGGACCAAAGAAATTCAAGGCCTTGAAGGCAATTAGAAATTCTCACCTGAACACCGAAAGCGAATCCTTCCAAGCTTGCGTGAAACATTAAAGCAACCACAAAGGTGAGCGATTTCACGATTTTCACCTTCGAGTTCGCCTGAAAAAAAAAACATCATCGACTGAAAATTTCGGCCTCAAAATCCACTGAAGACCTCTTGAAAACCGTTTTTTGCAAAGACTTCCCGTAAAGCGTTTCTCCTCAAAAGTTATAGCCGTACCTTTACCGACACAGATGCTTCAAAGAGTTTTTACTGATCAAAGCTTACCGATTGGTTATCAGCACAATCATTGGTTTCAATATCTGATATGACAGAAACGAATGTAGCAGCGTGTTTTCTTCTGTCATCCCTGAGAACCGCAATTTGTTAGCAATTACAGTCTGGTGCAAAGAATAGAAAACTCACCCATACTCTTCATGTCCACAAAATTTTCCCATAATTTCTTCGAATATTTTCACCATAAAGAATCCTATTGTGAAAAGTAGCGGAACAAATGGATAGTCGCTTTTGAAACCCGACAAGGTCTTCCAGTTCCCGTATGATTCGCTAAAAGTGAAAGAGTAGAGTTGAGAGCAAGAAACATAAATATTGAATATTTTTTGAGGGCCGTCCATTTGAGAAGGATCAGAACTACCGTTTTCATCTCACCGCCCCCCCCCCCTCCTTCGCTCGACAACCTCTACCTTACCAGGTCCTGAATTCACGTGGTACTATTATATTCCATATAAAAATTAAATAGTAAAACAGGTTGGTCACGCCGAACGTTGCTAGAATTATTGTAACAGCCATTCAAGATAACAAAAAAGACCAGTTTATTTTGAAAGGCGATCATTCTGTATGAATATATATTGGCATAAATAAATAAGCAAGCATTCATTGTTTAGAGCTGAGTTGTCAGTGAGTTGTAAACGATGCATTCCCCCATTGGTACTACCACATAAAGTAACCTTTCAGCGCCTAAGCTATTTTTCCCAGCCACTTCTTTCGCACAGGAATAGGTTGCCATATTTGTACTGTTTGTGTAGTACTAGGTGTTATGGACTAGAGAAGGGTGACGTTTACGACCAAACGGACGAGATAGATGGGTATGAAGCACTTCTGAGTCAGCTGGAAATGTATTGAATTCTTCGCATTGCTTCCACGTGAATGATCTTGGAATTGAGTAAATAAATAAGTGAGCATTCCTTATTTAGAGCCGAGTTGTCAGTGAGTTGTAACCGATGCATCCCCCCATCGGTACTACTACATAAAGTAACCCTTCAGCGGCTAATCTATTTTTTCCAGCCATTTCTTTCGCATTTGTGAGAAGACTGCCTTTTTTGTAAGGCTGTTTCGCTATCTATATTTGGTTTGAATCTTTTTTTGAACCACCAAGATTAGAAAATATTGGGTTGTCCCATAATTCCTGTCCGGATTTCGACACTTTCTTCTGCTCAAGATTATCTTTCTAAAAATCAAATGATCAAAAATACAACCATTATCACAATCACTGGTAAACATCTAGTCGCCAGGGACGGATGTTTCCTCTCAAAAAATGAGTGAAGCTGGAGTTGAGAAGTTCAGCAAGGGTCGTTTGTGGTTGTTGCAATTCTCTCTTATATCAGATGAGTCGAACTTCATAATGGAGTTTCACGGACATGAGCATAAAACACTTTCGTAAAATTTGTGTGGGCCATTTACTCTGGACGAGGTGGGGTGATGTAGTGACAAATGGAGCACAACGTACGTGGCACGGTCCAGGGCTAATTTAAGACTCAATTTTGCATAGACAATATATGATTTTGCTGCAAGGTTCGAAAAAGGTTATTGGTACAAGACTTTCTGGGAGTACCAGAAAACGGGCTTGTACATCGGACTGGCTTTCTCATTCATATAGTTAGGCAAATGGCATTCAGACGCCGCTGCGACTTATTAGAAGTCATTGCTTGGATATCCCATTCATGGGAGGGGGGAGGGGGCGGACGTCGCATTCCTGATACACCTAAGTGAAAGTTCGACACAGCTTGACATGCAGCTTCATATGGAGTTAAAGCGTTTAACTCAGTACCATTGCATTTTCTTCTTCTTCTTCTTCTTCTCCTTAGCGTTAGTCCCGCGCAGTCGCAGGGTCCGCTGTCTTTGTCAGTCGTCGCCACTTCGCTCTGTCTAGGGCATCTCCTGCAGTGGCCGTGATTTCACTTAGGTCCTTCTTGATCGTCCTTCCACCTCTTCTTTGGGGCTCCTCGCGGTCGCTTGCCTTGCACTTCGAAGTCCATCGCATTCTTATCGGGTGGCCTTGCGGTCTTCTCAGCACATGTCCATACCACCGCAGTCGTTGCTCCCTCACCTTCAGCTGGACAGGGGCAGTCTGCATGACCGCTCTGACATCCTCGTTCCTGACCCTGTCCAGTCGCGTCCAGCCGCAGGCCCACCTCAGCATCCTCATCTCAGCGGAGTGAAGCTGCCTTTCGTGATTCTTGTTCAGGGGCCAGCACTCGCTGCCGTAGAGCATCGCAGGCCTTACCACTGTTCGGTACACCTTCCCTTTGAGCGTTCTGGAGCACCTTCGGTCGCAGAGGATTCCAGTGGACTCCCTCCATTTCATCCATGCCGCGTTGATCCTCCCCATTACTGCCTGGTCCACACTGCCGTCGGCCGCCAGATCACTCCCAAGGTATCGGAAGTCCTCCACTCTTTCGATGCTTTCACCATGCCCGTCCACGATCGGCTCTGCACCCTCTTCAGAGCTCAGGAACTTGGTCTTCTTGACATTCAGCCGTAGCCCGCCTTCTGCCAGGACCTTCTGCCATTGCTGCACCTTGGCCTGTAGTTCCTCTCTACTATCCGCTATCAGGGCGATGTCGTCAGCGTAGAGGATGGTCTTTAGTGGTCCTTCCATGAGCCCCTTCACCAGGACATCTAGTGTTAGGAGGAAGAGGAACGGGCTCAGAGCTGACCCTTGGTGCACCCCAACCGTGATGTCCACTTCCTTCGTTAGGCCGTGTGGGGTGCGTATAGCTGCCTTCGCCCCATCGTACATATCCTTCACCAGCGAGACCAGGTGTTCTGGCACGTTCCGTTCCCTAAGCGCTCTCCATAGTACCGCTCGTGGTAGCCGGTCGAACGCCTTCTCCAGGTCGAGGAAGGCTAGGTAGCAGGGTCGGCGCTTTTCTCGATACTTCTCCATCACTTGCCTTGCGATGAAGATGGCATCCGTTGTAGACCTTTCGGGCATGAACCCGAACTGTTCCTGGGAGATGGGGACCAGCCCGCAGTCTCGAGTCGACCAGTCGCTCGTACAGCTTCATTGTATGAGCAGTCAACTTGATCCCGCGGTAGTTGGAGCAGTCCATCGCGTCACCCTTCTGCTTGAAGATGGGGACGATAGTGCTTGTTCTCCAGGCATCTGGCATCCTTCCTTCCGCAGTTATGTTGTTGAGGAATCGTGTGAGCCATCTTATCCCGTACTCACCGAGCGCCTTTCCATGCCTCGATTGGCACCCCATCTGGGCCAACCGCCTTCCCAATCTTCATCCTCCCAAGTGCACACCTAACCTCATCCTCAGTCCAGAGTGCGATGGGACCAGCTGTGGCCTCTGCCCGTGAGTTGTTCTCGTGGGGGAACTCCTCGTTCAGAAGTGCACTGTAGTACTCTTCCCACCTCCTCTTGACTTCGGCTGGCTTCCTTAGGATGACACCATCTCTGCCTTTCACACTTTTCACCACCCTGATGTCTTGGGTAGCCCGATGCCGGGCTTTGGCCAGTCTGAAGACGAACTTCTCTGCGTTTCTGCTTTCCAACTTCTCGTACAAGGCGTCCATCTCCGTGTTCTTCGCCTTGGCGACGGCAGCCTTAGCGAGCCTCTTGCAACTCCTGTAGGTAGCGAGGTCTTCGGGGCTCCGGGCCAGCGCTTGTATGCTTCCTTCTTCTGCTTCACGACTCGCTGGACTTCCTCGTTCCAGAACCACGCTGCCTTGTCTCCTCTGATTCCACCTCGGGTCTCGCCCAGTACCTCCTTGGCACATCGCAGGATGGTCTCAGCCGTCTTGCTCCATGTTCGCTGTATTGGCCCGTTAGGATTTGGTAGACCAACTTCCATTATCCTTCGTTTGAGGTCATCTTTCTCCGCTTGGTGCAACTTCCACCACCGGATTCTCCGCTCGGTTCTAACCCTTGTCTTCTTCGGGAGGTCCATGGCAATGTCTGCCAGGAGGGGCCTGTGCTGCGGAGCCAATTCCTCGCCAGGGAGTACCTTGATGTCTTTTACCGATCTCAGGGATGATCTTCTTACGAGCACATGGTCGATTTCCGTATGTCGTCCCCCACTGCTGTAGGGGACACCTCTGAGTCTCCCTAGCATAGATTGGTTATAGGAGGAAGCAATTTTGCAAAGCTCAGTATGCGGTTTTGCTCTCATTATCAGTTAGTTTGTTGCTACCGGGTTTCGACCGCTGTTGCAGATTATTCTCTTCCAGCAAAGTAGAGTGCTGACAATAAGGATGGGCAAAACACTGCCCGGGGTGGGATATGACCGCGAACCTATTGTTTTTTTCAGGCAGTTCTGTCACCTATTGAATGATGGCGGCGCGATTCTTGCATGAGTGGCTCGGCCTGAATATATGTAGTGTAACAGTTTGAAATAGTGTCCTTCCAAAAAATGCGAGCAATCCATAACATTTTTAGCTGACCACGTAGTGCGCCACTCCATCGATCGCACTTTATTCGCTCGTAAATATTTCTCCTTTTATGTTCACAACACATAGTACTACCACACGTAGTACGTAGTACAGATATGGTACCATTATCTGTGGAAGAAATGTGTAGTTCGATTTGTTCAGCGGTAGTGTTCCGGTCCTAACTAGGAGTATTACACAGCTACGAATAGCAACAATTCAAACACAAACATGGGTAGGGTTCAACAAGTTTCTGTTCCTTCAGGCCGTAGCCTATCCTTCATTTTTTGGACTTCTGTTCTGATTTCAGCACATTTACACTTTTATATAGTGTTTTTTTCAAATTAGTAAAATACTTACTATGCGTCTGGCATCATGTCCAAGAAGCAGACGGCCAGAAACACACCTCCAGCAAAACAAGAGAGCAAGGAAATGATGACGGAGGCTCTGCGTTCAACTTTTCCTGATTTTCCTGCGAGCATTTCCATCACCTAGAAAACTAGCTAGCTCCGAGGGCAACGACTTGTTAACAAATACAAATCTAGAATATTTGAAGGCTATAAGAGGTATGGATCAAAGATTCATTACCTTGAGTGGTATAATGCCAAAAAGAATGGTTGTAATAGCCATGACGCCGAGAAGAACGCCCTTCAACGCTGTGATATTCATATTTTCTGCAAAAAAAATACTGAATAAATATGATTGAAGAAAAATTGAATTCGCGTGAGGTCACTAACGGACAGACGCTGGAATACCAGAAAATTCGCCTAAACTGATAACAGATTTGGGTATGGAACTTCGCGATCGACTGGCTAGGCCTGATAAGGCCTATTAATGACGCCCTGGCAATAAGAAGGCCTAGCGAGGCCTATCGATAACAGTCGCACGTAGTCGAAGAAAAAACGAGGCAAGGCCTGATAAGACTAGGCAAGGCTACTTGAAAACATAATATTGTCACAACAATAGATTATTTATCTGCATATAAATCGAAGAACGACCTTGCGCTCTCAAATAAACATTCAAGCAGTCATACGTAGCGAAAATAAGTACAATACTAGGGTGAAAGTCGGCACTGGTGGTGGTGTAGTGGTTGTGGAGGAGGTAAGCAAACCAGCCCTTTTGGCGTTTCTGCTGGGGCCGTATGCTGAATGTTGGGGAGGGGATGGGGTCCCCGAACGGTCGACGGACTACTTCAACTCGGTCGGTACGATAGGAGAGTACTGACGCAGTGGTGCAGCTGGTCCAGCAGCTCCGCCAGAAGGGCTGGTTTGCTCACCCCAGGACTAAGCCTTGGAGAGGGGACGGACCCGTCCTCTCTTTAAGGCTTAGTTCTGAGGTAAGCACCAAATTGTGGCGGTTCTAAGGACCGAGTTGAAGTGGTCCGTCGACCGTCGGGGACCCATCCCCTCCCCAACATTCAGCATACGGTCCCAGCAGAAACGCCAAAAGGGCTGGTTTGCTTACTTCACATCAGGGTTAGTTAAGAGTGACCAGTAATATACTCATAGGCTCATGTTGGTAGGAGAGACATTGAAGTGAGTGAGCCAAATACAGAACTTAGGACTAAGCCTCAGAGAGGGGAAAGGATTTTGGGGAAGGACATGAGCAACCTTTGACTCCCTGGCATCTCCTCTCTCATGGGCTTAATTCTAGTGTCGTCAGCTAGCGATTTTCGAATGCCCTGCTCTGAAAGCCTCCCTACGGAGATGGGCGCCTTCAACTGTTTCTCGGTCGACCCAGCAGTTCATCTAATTCAGGTCAAGTCGCAATCAAATGCCACCTTGACCATGAGTGGAGGTGGAATGCATGGCGTATCTCAAAAAAGAGATCGATCTATGCCAGGTGTTTCATCGTTCAATATCGACTGAATATAACTGTGATAAGCAAATGCCATTATGATCACAGGAACCTCAATCCAGGAAGAACGTTTTCTCGGTTAGAGTAGAAAGTTGACCAGCGAAGAAATGGCAGACCAGTTAAACCATCCCACCGTGGAATATACTTGGGGTGGAAAGTCCTGAGCCGATTTTTTGAAAGCTCCAGAACTTTCGCTTATTGATCGATACCTAGAATCTGCTACGTGATAGACTATCGCTGTCGATCATACTTCTCCGCAGTAGGTATATATTGCCGGGTTGCCTTCTTTAACTTTAATCATGATGGTCGATTCCACAAGAGCACTTTCGAGCGATCATCTTCAATGAATGGCGCTGCGGCACAGGAGCAGTGGGAACCGTCAACATTATCAGCATCGCATTGGGGAAGGACACCACTTCCATCATCAGTGCGAAGCTCTGGTTCGCACAGATTGAAAAGGGGAGAACACGGCTTCTGAAAACGAGTCAATGGTTGGGGAGCCCCCAAACAGTGGAAGACTCCACCGTTCTCGGCGCTCTCCAAGGGGATCCGAAGATTAGCACCCGCAGCCTTGTGATAAGACTTGAGTGCACCCATCCCACAGCTCTCGGTCCCCTCCACGCTCTCGCCACAGGAAAGTGCCGACTCGATGGATTCCTCATGATTTTGGAAGGCATGATTACGAGAGATGAGAGTTGGGTCCTCTACGATTCTAACAAGCACAGTGCCGTGTGGCTCCCTCGAGGAGAAGACCCGCCGACACAAGCAAAATCGGACCTTCACCCCAAAAGCTGTCTTCCTTTGCTACCTCTGGGATTCGTGAGGAATGCTGTATTATGAGCTGCTCCTGCGAGGGCATACCGTAACCGACAGCATTTACGCCAGTCGCTCCAGAAACTAGCGGACGTTGTTCGAGAAAAACGACCGAGACGAACTTCTGCCCACCTATTCCACGATGACGCCAGGCCCCACATAGCTAAGGAGACCCGTGCCAAATTGGAAGAACTGGTTTGGGACGCAGTTCTCCACCCATCCTATTTCCCTGATATTGCCCTCTCTGATTATCCGTTAATTCATACCCCTCAAGGCATTCCTAGCGAAGAAATTCAAAAGTTGAAGACGTTGAAAGAGCGGTCAGCGATTTCTTTGACTCTCAGTCTGCTCAGTTCTGGGAGAAGGGGTCGCTGACCTGCCCATTAGGTGGGACTCTGTAGTGAGTAACAATGGTGATTATATTGTTGAGTAGATTCCATTGTACGCGGAATAAAAAAGTAAAGAACAAAAAAGTGTCAAACGGCTCAGGACTTTCTTACCATCCTAATATAGAGGTGGCAGGAAGTGGTGCCTGGGTGAAAAAAAAACCATGAGAAACGGCCCAGAACCCGAGAAATGGAACCCTTCCTTGCCCGTTGATTTCCGCATTGATGCGACTCTCATCGGTGCTGCCTCTTCAACGCTAATGCTTTCTCTCTGCTGAACGGCTAGAACCTGTGGTCAGTGGTTAGCCAGTCGAGCGTGCCGCGCCAATAGCGTATCCTTTCCAGAGAATTGTGTCGTTCCGCAGTCTTATGGAGTCTGCCTGTGTTCCCACTAGGTACTAGGTTTCCATTTCCTCGACTTCCGACTTTATCATGGAATCTTCCTTTAGCCGATTTCACTGTGAATAGAGCGATTCGTACTGGCGATTCGCTAGCGTCCGCGGTCGCGTTGCGGTACAAGCGACGAGCGATCCGCTGGTCACGACGCGACCGCGGACACTAATGAATTGTTGATTCGCTAAGTTTGACTTTGGCCTTCAAGGGTACGCTTGGGCATTTGAAAGCGATGAAATTAGAAGAAAGCGTAGACTGCAAGATTACCCTTTGACTCCTAGAGTTCAGCCAAAGGCCAGAAAAACTATTCGTAGGTTCTACGACATAATAGCGATTGTAATCTATAATGAGCTTTTCAAAAGCTTGCAAATGGGCGATAGAAGCTACAAAATCGATTTTAGTTATGAATGACTGAAATTGTGTAAAAAGGTTTCAAAATCAACAAAGAGCGGGATAATCACGTGAGCACAGCGTAGCATACCAATCTAACCACTGTTCTGAAATCAATCTCGTGGCCATGGAGGGCACAAACGGAAGCCACCCACACGGCGCCCATGTGGCGTGTGACGCTTGTATCTCTCGTAGCACTTTTCTCCGGGTGGGCTCCAGAAAATGCGATTCAGTCGTCATCGCATGCCGTCAATTCGGTGACGATGAACGGAAACGCACGTTGTACGACAAAGGACTATAGCGATCGTTTTGGTTATTCCTTTGCAGGAGGGGGATCTCAAATTAAAAGAACTACTTTGCCAATGACACATATCATCGAACTTCTCGTCGCAAGAATGCCTTTGTTATTGG